CGTATATCCAAAGAATTAATTATTTCCTATTGTTATATTTTCAAAGATGGGAAACCCCCTTGAGCCATTAAGGGGCTGTTCATTAACTACGTAGACAGTTTTTTTGGGATTCTTGACCCCCCCCCTTCCCCTGCGTAGACAATTTTCCATACAAATTTTTTTAAATTTGTATGGACCGTGCACAATTGCCAACACCCCCCCCCCCCTTCCATAAACTGTCTACGTAATTTATAAACATATCCTAATAAGTTTTTCTTTTCTTTTTATATACGCGAAAGAATATTCCAGGAATGACTATAATAAACAAAAATAGTCAATCTAATACATGGCATACTTTTCTGGGGAATGGTACATTCTGGGGAATGGTTCATTCTGGGAAATGCTTTTCTGGGGAATGGTGCATTCTGGGGAATGACGTCGCGCACGGAACCCCTTTGGATAAGGTTGTGTTTGTTCTCTGTTTTGTGCGTGCGTTCGCCTTCATAGTTTTCGGTTGCATTTGCCGGATTAGCGCTGGCACTCTGCCTCCCGGACGGTTATACGTCTGTGAGTGGTAGTTTTCTCGCTTTCCGAGAAATTTTAGAATCGAGAAAGAAAACATGATTCATGATGTTTGCAAAATAACAAGCATCAGAAGGTGTGGCGCTGCGTGGTTTGATTGTTTCTCCCGGACCAGAAATTTGTGGCATCGCGAGTGAAAATTTTAATTTCAGTTTATGTACGCGCTGCAAGGTGCGTGTAAAGCTTGGCATGATTGGTGTTGATGTTGGTACACTTGCAACTATTTTAGCAAAAAATAAAAAAAAATCAAAAGAAATTGATATCGAAAGTGTACCAAAAGTGCTTCTGAACGTGTTTCGCAGTTGGATGTGGTGAAATTCGTGGTTGTTTTCAGTGAAAATTCCGTATCACAAATTTGCTCAATGAGTTCCCTTTTTTTTGCCGTTCGACGACATCGGGAATGCGCTCCCGGATATATTGATTTGGTGAGTACGTTCCAGTTGAGGATTGTTCTTGTACATTTCTCGATTGCATTTTCGAGGGGACGTGTCTGCTTTTGTGGGCAGTGCGTTTGATGGTCGGTTTGGTAGTATCCTTTTAAATATAATGTCTCATGTCCAAATAACCTCGATTTTCGGTCTATTGATTCAATACTTTAGTATTATATTTTCAAAACATACAATGATGCATTATGTCATTTCATGGCACATAAAACAAAAAGTGTGTGTATAGGACCCAATAATCTGGGTTATTTGTATTTTGTTATACATCTTTATTTTTTATTATATTTTTCATTTTACTACATATTATATATACATGATATATTACATGATTATATATAAATTCATAATGTAAATTACAATAAATACTGGGACGGGAGAGAGCATCAGGGCATCATTGAAGTTTTAACTGGACAATGGAGTGGAGTGTCAACCGGAGTCTAGGAGGGAATGTGTACTGTCATTTTAGATAGTTACATTCCACTCCAACAGTTGCAATGAATTTGACGCGCTCTTCTTAAACAAACGTGGAAAGCTTAACATGTATTGCGAATTTCGTTATTCATTTTGTTGGATCATATTGTTGGAAGGAGATTCTCTTATTCCCGCGGGTTCCGCGTAAGTGCCTCTGCTTACGGGCCCGTCCAACCCTTTTTGGCCCTTCATACAGCAGTATGTTGAATTCAGAACGGAATTTGATCTTGCTGTTGAGTGGAGCCGCATGCAGGGCAAGTCCCAAGCTAGGATGGTGGCTACTTACATACATACAATGGTGCATTCTGGGGAATGAGATTCTGGGGAATGGTTTTCGGGGGAATGGTTTTCTGGGGAATGTTATAGAATCCTATCATTTGTATTCAGTATAAATTGACCACTTTGTCAAGCAGTTTTGGCGTGACTTTCTACCAGCGATTTCACAAAACTGGACCAACTAATTTCTATTTTTAATTATAAAACGCACAAATGTTGGCTACTTTTCTCGAGGTTCTAGAAGAAAAAATCTCAAAATAATATTTTATTTCAAAGTTCGAGTGGTAGTAAACGTCATTTTAAGTGCTCGAATGAAGTGGTTAATTAGAAAAGAAAATTTCCTTCTCAAAAATTTATCCCTTGCTGTTCTTCTATTTGTCTTAATTTCGGGGTAGTCGCCATTCGGGGTAATGGCCATTCGGGGTAGTGTACTATTCGGGGTAACGGCGTTCGGGGTAGTGTACCGTTCGGGGTAACGGCGTTCGGGGTTATGGCGTTCGGGGTAGTGACATTCGGGGTAGTGTCACAGAATCTAAATTTTTGCCTGCTCTCAACTTAGTGTTCTTTGAAGTACTTTCACATTTTAATTGAGAGCTTTCTATGCCTGTATCATCCTATGCTCAAGGAAGTAGAGACATTTTTCAACCCGAAAAATTAATAGACCGGACGGGAATAGAACTCAGTCGCCTCCAGCATGGACTTGCTTTGTAGCTGCGCCTTCACCGACTGAGCTAAAGGAGTATCCACAGACAAACAGACATAACACTCGCAAGTTGTTCATCGAACAAGCATTTAACGGACAATTTAAAAGTATCGTAGTTGGTAGTACCGCCACCTGTGGCGCGCATAGTCAATTCCCTTGCGTTTGACGTTTACACACTACCGCCATCTTTTCAGCGTAGTGCCCACCACAGTGTACTCAACAGATGGCGGTAATGTTTTAGCGACGATGTTTTACAGGGAGAAATATTCAATGTGTTATGTCTGTTTGTCTGTGGAGTATCGTTTGTAACCTTTGAATTAAAAAAAAAAAGAATAACATTGTATCATCTTTAGTTATTTATGTGTAGTATAAACTCTGAGAAATTAGTGAACATAATAAAACACCCTTTCATTATGAGATTCTATTGAATAATACCGGCCTAGATTCGATGAAACATTATTTAAAAAAAATTAATGCATTTTCATTTGAAATGCAAATTTTCTTGAAAATTAACCAGAGACGAATTTTGCTGTCCTAAATGTTGTAGTTAATTTGGCTCTTGTTTTCTCATTTTTTACCGAGTCAAACCAAACACCCTGCACATAATCGAGAAATTACCAAAGTTTCATAAGTCACGCTTGTTGGTCACGTCGCGGTTGTGTATTTACACGGATATTCCTTGGGTTCTGCCCAATGGTGAGAAATTTTCATGATATATTTTTTTTATTTCTAATATGAACCTAGCACTTTTCGTTGTCAAATCATAACCGAATCGTATAAATGTGATTTTGTGGATCATGCACGACTCATTACTGTGTATACCGGAAATTATGGGTTTCCGGTCCGGTCAAGGGAATCTTTCGGGCTGGAAATTTTCTCGACTTCCCTGGGAATAGAGTATAATTGTGTTTGCATCGTTTGGCATCGAAAGCTCTCAATTAATAACTTTGAGAGTGCATTTAGAACACTAAGTGGAGAGCATGCAATAAGCTAATATGCACTAATCAATAAGCTTGAAATGCGAATAAGAAGAAGAAGAAATCGTTCTGGAGTTCAGATGATTTGTTCAACTAGATCAACCATGACTGGGATGAAGTCTGTAGCATCAAAATATGTCCAAACAGATTCATAGTGTCTATATGGATAATTTTTAATTATTTCCACGTATACCAGATGATCTAGGTTCTCCAAATCGTCCTGCAGTTCAGATGATTTGTTTTACTAGATCAACAAAGACTAGGGGAATATCTGTAGTAACGAAAATCGATTTGGAAATCCTAAAACATTTGGCATGATCCACATAGACACTGCAAATTTGTTTGGGCATATTTCGATACTACAGATATTGAATTAGTCTTGGGTGATCTAGTAGAAAAATAACCTGATCTACAGAATGATTTCAGAACCTATAACATCTTGTATACGTTCACCGAAAATATGTTTCATGTAGCTTCCATTGGAATCGCAAATGATTTTCATGCATAAGCAAAATTAATGGAATTCATCTGAATTTCACATAACATTTATGCGATCACGTTAATTTTATATGATTTTTCATATGAATTTCATCGGCCTCATAATATTCATGTGATTTTGTGGTGAGATTTTTAGCTATGTTCACATGGTTTTCATCCATTAGATATGTGATAAATTTTTTGAGTGTAGGTCGTATAGGTCGGGTACAATCCACATAGACACTTTGAACCTGTTTGGACATATTTCGATACTACAGGCATTATTGCAGTCTTGGTTGATATAGTAGAACAAATCAACTGAACTCCAGGACGGTTTGGAGAACCTAGAATATCCGATATACATGGCAATTATTCGCTTATATACGATTCGTTTATGATTTGACAACGAAAAATGCTATTTTCATATTGAAAAAAAAGGAAAATTTCTCACATTGGACAGATCTCAGGGAATTTCCGTGTAAATCCGGTGTGACTTATGGAATTGAGATCATTTTTCGATTATTTACAGGGTGTTTGGTTTGAACCGGTAAAAATGGAGAGCCAAATGAACAACAAAATTGATGACAGCAAAATAATCCGGGACGGAAATTTTTTGTGACAGTACATCAGTCCCTTCGCGATTTTCGCTACATCATTTAATGTTTCCGCGATTTTCGCGACATCATTTAATGTTTCCACGATTTTCGCGACTGGAAGTTCAAATCCGCGAAAATCGCGGGATCCGCGAAATTCGCGAAATCCACGCCAGTTGTAACAGCCCTGCATTTGGCAACATGCCTATGTTTGTCTTTAAACATGGTGAAACAACATTTTAATAGTAAGCGCAATATATATCACAAGAAAAAACATCGCGCAACATAAAAAAAATCATGCATTTAAGAGTTAAGTGAACCAAGATTTAGTATTTAATCGGTAAGATGCGATGATTTCATAGACACTGAAGAAGTCTGCACTAGTAAACGAAATCTCAAGAAAACATTAAAATAGATTGATTTGCAGCATATTGGAAGGCTCATGTGATTTGTTAATATTAAAAGACATATGTACCCAGTCGCTACCTTCCCAAATACATACATTTATTTCATTTAATAAAATGTTATCCATTACAAAATTATGAACTAGGTAGAACTCCATCTCACAAGTTAATTTCTCCCACTGCATCCAAAACTCTACTTCTTCACACCGGTGTTCTGTTGAACGTGCACATGAACCTGCACCGGCGGTTGCTGCTGTTGTTGACCCTTATTTGCCTTCTCTCGGCAAACCGATGCAATGTGACCCTTCTTGCGACACATAAAGCACGATGCGTCTTTATGCGGACATTCATTTTCCTTGTGTGGGTGGCCGCAAATCTTGCACATCCTTGCGTTACCGCTACCACTGGCCTGCGGTTTAGGTCCCTTCTGCTGCTTTTTGGTTTCGCCCAGATTGGCCATTAGCGATTCCAGCGTCGTTTGTAATTGCTTCTTCGTCTTCGCTGCTGCCACTTCAGCCACGATTGGAGGCACACTCTGTCCCTTTCTCGAAACTGGTGCAACCGTTGGCACCGACGACGACGACGACGGTGGTGGTGGTTTCTTATCGGCCTTATCTTCCGGAAGCTTACCACAGGCAATTCTATCGCGCAACGCGTCATGAGCAAAGGGACCAAAGTTGCACTTCGCCGACAATCGTTTCAACTCGTTAATGAAAGCTCCCGTGTACTCCCCAGGCCGTTGATTGCGCCGGTAGAACTCACGCCGGGCAAAGTACTCTTGCAGTAACGACTTCAACTGGCCAAAGGATCTTTCCTTCGGATCAGAGGGGGCACAAATTTCTTTCAGAATTTTGTACGCCTCCTGACCGATGCTGGAAATGAACAGAGGCACCTTTTTGCTTTCTTCATTGACCGAATTCAGCACCAGAAAATGCTCAAACTGCTCCAAATAGTAGTCGAAATCACCCTTCTGGCAGTCGAACGGATCCAATCGGGAAAATAAATGAGCTGCCATGGCTTAATTCCGTCTTACTTTTTCAAGCGTCGCTCGCGCTACTACTCGAGTTCGAAAAGATTGCAATTTGGATGCACAGCACAGCACGACAAAGCACAGAAATTACTGAACGTGGAATATGTGAATCCCCGGAGCTGCGCTTGCAATAATTCCTCTGAAATCAATGTGTGCGAGCTGTGTCTGAATGCATCGATGAATCAGGGGCCTCATTGTACAAGTCGATCCAATCGACCTTTTACTGCTTCATTCTGTACAAAATTCTCTATCGGCTTGCAAAATGTGGTCGCAGACGAGCTCGCAGACACGCCGTGGTGAAACCAAATCAAGCTGAACAATGCATTGGGTCCTAAGTAACATTGACAGATTCTCTTCGTCGGCTTTCTCTTTGCATCCACACGGCCATGTCAAGACAGTCCCAGCTAATTTCAGCACACAAATCGATTATCTAGCATTGTGTACGACAAACACGACAGGAAATGGTTCAGTATCCAAAGTTATTAACGAAAGAGAAAGTCGCTGAAGAGAATAGACCAATGTTACTTAGGACCTAATTCATTGTTCAGCTTGAAATGTGTTTGGATGTGACGTTAGTAGTGAATTGTGATAAGTATTTGTGAGTGTTGGTCGTAAAACTGGTTTTATGATGTTTACTTTCAACTTTCAATCATTGGCTAACTAAGGAAACATCCTAGGGGGGTTAAATTTATTTTTCAAACTTCTCAATTAGGCAATTAGCGAACAATTTTGATGTGTAAGGAAAATAAGCAATGATTGTAGTAACAATTATAGAGGGGGCTACATTAATCCCAGTTACACCAATGCTTTCGATCAATATAGCGCCCAGATAAGACGTTCATCCTGCCCAAATCTGCCTGTAAGGCCAAAATAACACGTCATTCGCTAATTTACGAGTACGGTAGTGCCGTTACTTGATCACAGGTTGTAGGTATCCGTGGAGCACTTGGGCTTGGGTTGGGTGCGTTGGGCACTAATAAAAATTCAATGATTATTTGTATATGTCCCACACATGAATTTTCGCAATGTGATAAAAAAATGATATATATATGTGTCGGACTTAGATAGGAATGGAATACATGGACATTCACCAATAAAAATGTGTCGAGTTTTATGAGCGTAGTCAAGTAGTGAGCCAATTTAAAATCGTTAGTTTTCACATCAGGTTTCCACCGGGGGGGGGGGGGGACGTGCTGTCAAATCAGCCTCTACTGATCATTCTTGTATGAAACTGGTTCCAAACGTAAACAAACGCTTTTTTTTTAACTCTTTATTTGTTCCATATTCAAAATAAATTACATTTCATTTTAACCTAGGTGCTCCAGTTACTTCAGTAACGTACCAGCCTTAATTGTTATGATATATATCTAAGTGTTTTTACATTGTTCATGTCTTGGCAATTCAGTATTTTAAACAGTTTTTTTTTACCTGCATGTCAGTATAACAATTGATATCTTAAAACTAAAAACTAAAACTAAATCTTATCTAAGTATAAAGGGAATTAATCGTTGCAATTGAGGATTGCAACGATTTTTGCCTGAAATTATTAATTATTTTGTTGGACATTTGTTCCAAAGTGAGTGTTCACTCGGCTGTCGACAAAAACAGGCCACTCTCGATGTGTGCTACGCGATCGTCTGTTTTCTCAGCAGCAACCATTGTGTGGTCCTCCTCATTGTTCTTCATCAGCAGTTCTTTCGGTCGATGCGTCGTCGACTTTGGAAAGCAACCGTTTCGTGATGAGTGTGTGAGTGCTGACCACGTTTTGCGTCCATTGCTGCAATGGACGCGCTCTGACCCTCGTTGGCGTACAACAATTTGCCATACAATGAAACCACTGGAAGCGGCTCCAGTTCTGATGGAAGAGGCTTTTTGGATAGCGGAAGATAAAGTGTTTATTGTGTTGTACCTTTTGACTATAGTTTTAAGATGTATTGTATAGTGACCAAGAATCCTCGGCTCTGTAAAGTTAATTCGGTTGAGCCTTATCAAATAAATTAATTAAAAAAAAAAAAAAATTTGTTCTAAAGTCTCAACATTCGAAATTCTATGTACTTCAGTAGTACTGTACCAGGGAGGCAACTTCAAAATCATTTTCAGAACTTTGTTCTGAATCCTTTGAAGTGCTTTTTTCCTGGTAGTGCAACAACAAGACCATATTGGCACAGCGTAAAGCATGGCCGGTCTAAAAACTTGTTTAAATATTAGAAGTTTATTCGTCAGGCAAAGTTTGGATTTCCTGTTTATAAGAGGATACAAACATTTTATATATTTGTTACATTTAGCTTGAATGCCCTCAATGTGATCTTTAAAAGTTAATTTTTGGTCAAGTATTAATCCAAGATATTTCACTTGGTTTGACCAGGAAATTGGAATCCGTTCATAGTGACTATGTGACTACTACTAGGTTTCAAAAACGAAGCTCTAGGCTTGTGTGGAAATATTATAAGTTGAGTTTTGGAAGCGTTGGGAGAAATCTTCCATTTTTGTAAATAAGAAGAGAAAATATCTAAACTTTTCTGCACTCTGCTGCAAATAACACGAAGACTTCTTCCTTTAGCGGAAATGCCTGTGTCATCAGCGAATAAAGATTTGTGGCAACCCTGAGGCAAATCAGGGAGGTCCGAAGTGAAAATGTTATACAATATAGGCCCAAGAATGCTACCCTGAGGAACTCCTGCTCTAACAGGTAGTCGATTAGATTTGGAATTTTGATAATTTACCTGCAGAGTTCTGTCAGTTAAATAATTTTGAACTAATTTCATAATGTAAAGTGGAAAATTAAACCTTTTCAATTTAGCAATCAAACCTTCATGCCAAACACTGTCGAATGCTTTTTCTATGTCTAGAAGAGCAACTCCAGTTGAGTGGCCTTCAGATTTGTTTGAACGAATTAAATTGGTAACTCTTAAGAGTTGATGAGTAGTTGAATGCCCATGGCGAAATCCAAACTGCTCATCTGCAAAAATTGAGTTCGTATTGATGTGAAGCATCATTCTATTTAAAATTATCTTTTCAAAAAGTTTACTTATTGAAGAAAGCAAACTTATTGGACGGTAGCTAGAAGCTTCAGCTGGATTTTTATCCGGCTTCAAAATTGGAACAACTTTTGCATTTTTCCATTTATCAGGAAAGTATGCCAAATGGAAACATCTGTTAAATAGTTTTACCAAGAAATACAAGGTACTCTCTGGGAGTTTTTTGATGAGAATATAGAAAATTCCATCATCACCTGGAGCTTTCATATTTTGAAATTTTTTAGTTATAGACCTTGCTTCGTCCAAATCAGTCCCCCAGGGATCATCAAAAATATTTTCCCGAGAGAAAATATTCAGAAAATCCCGAGCAACCTGATTCTCAATAGGACTAGTAAGACCCAAACTGAAATTATGGGAACTCTCGAATTGCTTAGCAAGTTTCTGAGCTTTTTCCAAATTTGTGATCAAAATTTTACCACCTTCTTTAAGCGCTGGAATTGGCTTTTGAGGTTTTTTCAAAATTTTTGTGAGTTTCCAAAAGGGTTTGGAACTCGGGTCTAATTTAGAAACATTATTTTCAAAAGTTTTGTTCCTCAGGGCAGAGAATCGCTTTTTAATTTGTTTTTGCAAATCCCGCCAGATAACTTTCATGGCAGGATCACGTGTTCTTTGGAATTGTCTCCTACGGACATTTTTAAGACGGATCAAGAGCTGAAGATCATCGTCTATTATAATTGAATCGAATTTAACCTCACATTTTGGTACTGAGGCAGCTCTTGCTTCAACTATAGAAGTAGTCAGAGATTCAAGAGCATAATTAATTTCATCTTTGGTTTGCAAAGGAATGTTTGGATCGAAGTTATATTCCATAAATGTTCGATACTGCTCCCAATCAGCTCTATGGTAATTGAAAATAGAGCTGTTGGGATTATAAATTATTTCTTGGGATATTTCAAAAGTTACTGGAAGGTGATCAGAACCGAAGTCAGCATGGGTAACCAGTTGGCTACAAAGTTGACATGAATCAGTTAAGACCAAATCAATAGAGGAGGGATTTCTTGCAGAAGAAAAGCATGTTGGGCTGTTTGGATATTGAATAGTGTAATAACCTGCAGAACAATCATCAAACAGAATATTACCATTGGAATTGCTTTGAGCATTATTCCATGAGCGGTGTTTTGCATTAAAATCACCAATAATGAAGAATTTAGACCTATGACGGGTAAGTTTCTGGAGGTCACCCTTGAGAAAATTCTTTTTCTGGCCTACGCATTGGAATGGCAAATAGGCAGCTATAAACGTAAGTTGTCCAAATTATGTTTCAACAGAAACTCCCAAAGTTTCAAAAACTTTGGTTTCAAATGAAGAAAGAATTTTATGTTTGATTCGTCTATGAACAATGATGGCAACGCCACCACAGGGTCCATCAAGACGATCATTTCTATAAATTAAATAATTTGAGTCCTTCTTAACCTTATGGCCAGGTTTAAGGAACGTTTCAGTTATAACGGCAATATGCACGTTATGAACTCTCAAAAAGTTAAATAGCTCGTCTTCGTTATCTTTAAGAGATCGAGCATTCCAATTTAAAATGTTTAATGCTTTAAAATCCATTACTGAATTTTAAAGTCATGACAATACTATTAGCAAATTTTACTCCAGTTTGAATAGCATCAAACATGGAGTTAGATTTAAGCATATCAGAAATCATTTCAATTAATGATTTCTGTAAAAATTCCATTTTAGGGGCAGTAATGCTTCCTAAGTCAAAATTGTCAAAATTTCCGTTAGAATTACTTTGGTTAGTATTTTGATTTCTACCCGTTGCAATAGCAGCATAGGTAGCTCCATTAACTCGCTGAACATTGTTAGCAGCGAGGGGAGTAGGTACAGATGAAACATTTGAAGCAGGGGTGATATTTGTACCTACGGGTACGAATGTAGAATTTGTTCCTCGCTGACCGTTGTTAACAGCAGAGGAATTTATACCTGGTCGGAAACGTGGAGCGTTTCCTACCTGACGGTTAGAACGAGATTGTAGGATCGCTTTGCGAGTC